CGCCCTTTAGGGGTAGGAATTTTGAAAAAAAAATTATTAAAAATTCAATTTTTTTCAATATTCATTCATTTCAAAGACATGCCACCCGACTTTGTAACTCTTATGGTTGCTGAGAAAAAAATTAAAGAAGAAATGCAGATTTCAACACTCTTTGGGGGGTGGCTCCCAAACGAACCACGTTGGACCCTCGGTTTATTTGGAAAAAGTGCTTGTTTTGATGCCCTCTACAACCCGATTTTTTTTTTTCGAACGGTCGTGTAACACCCTGTATATAAAGCCACTATAATATAATATATTTAAAATTTCACTTGCGAACGGTCATTGTACAACGTGAATTAAAGCAACGTTATTTTGATAGTATACTCTACTTCAAAATTCCTTAGGCCGAGACGCCCTTGGTATTTGTTTACGCCGTGTTATTGGGGCCAGTTTCACGTTCCAATGGATTTCAAGAAAGCTTATTTTAATCACATCCCCACCAGCAATAAACAAAAAAATGTGCTTTGTAAAGTTCAAAGTTTTATTTGAGAAAACACGGGAATAAAAACGTGGACCGTGCGATTATTTCTTGTGATACGGATGCACCTGTTCACATGTATAAACCATATCTCCACTTTTACATCCGTAGCTACATGTGTCATCGTCGTTCTTCTCCCTTGTTCCCACAGTCGAATACTTGTAGTCTGCATCGAGATCGAATGTACCATTCCATAAATTGGAGACGATGCATTTGCGGACAGGACTTCTTCTTGCCATTATCCAAGCAAGCATAACGGCATTCGCCATTTTCTTCGTAGAAGTGTGGCTCGCCATACTCTCCGCAATTAAATGGTATATTTACAGACGACAACTCATTACACTCAGGAGTAGCTTGGATGGAATAAAATGTGCCGATCAAGCATGCTAACACAATTGTTACAGTTTTCATTTTGCTAAAAAAAAGTAGGTACCTATATGGTTAATGAAGGACTAGTGTATTAAAGGGACCCAAGTGCGAGATTAATGCAAATTGGTTATCGGCCAGATCATTATATATTAGAAAAGTTTGACCCCTGCACACTGTACTTTATCCAACAAGTTCAATGATGATAAGGCATTTTTTAATTATACACATAGTATAATGTAAACATGTAACGAGAGGGTTATTTTTACGTAAATTTGTTGCGTTTAATTCTAAAGGTTAAATGTAGTCAAGGTTTCAACTAAACGACACCGTATATCCTTCTCAGGTCAATGCTTTTTTTTGTTGTGACAGTTTCCATATCTTCTTAAACAAACAAAATATCCAGGGCTGTGTTCCGACGAAGAAAAATTCTCTTCTAGTACATTATAATATCAAGGTAGAGAAGTCCACTATTATTGCCTGAGCACCAAGATTACATCTCGAGGCGCTTTATTAACCACTTTGAACAAATGCCGAGAAAGCCTACTTTACAAGTGGAAAAAAGGTTAATAATCATGTCATCAGACGCTAGTAGTGAAAAAAAATAATTTCACGTTAAAAGGAACCGGTTCGCCCTTCTTTATCCCGGAATAAACGACATCCAAATTTTCTTGGAATAGCCACACGTTTAATCACTCTTCGAATTTATTTAAATCGGCTCAAGTCGACCATGTTTTTAATTGTACCAACAGAAATTGTTATATTCATGAAGGTACAAGAAAAAAAGGTTGCCCGTTAGCACCAAAATTCCGCAGACAGACTCGTCACTGATTAGCTAAGGGAGTGACCTAATGCAGCTGAGCCAGCAACTATAACTCAATAGCACTAATTAAGAAGACGAAATACCTATGATATAAAAGGCAGACAACTCGGCTCGTGAGGCTTCCCATTAAGAAACAACACTCCATTCACGTTAAACAATCCAGCCAAGATGATATTCATTTTTCAACACCGTTTAAAAATCTCATTATGAAAATTCACACATAACATTTATTGGACAAATCGTTCCTCTAAATTTCTTACACGCTTGCAGAGTGTTTATGATATCTAATGCTAAAGCTGTTCTTATAATTCTAACATCACAACAAAATTTCGAAAATATGTAATTGCAAATACCAAAACTCTGTTTAAATCTAAAAATCAATACAAAAAGGAGGAAGTGACTTCTCAATCTGGTGCACTGGTGGAAATCTGAAGTAAGAAAAAATCTGCGACAGCTAGAAAACTCAGAAAAAATTGTAGTTGCTGCAATTATTTTATTATGTCATTGACGCAACTTGTATACTTTTCACAAGAAGCAGACAAAAAAGTTTTGCAAAAATCACTCGCCTACCAGTATAGATCGATTTTGTTAAGGCGAGGCTTTACAATTCAAATTGTTGCGATTCCGCGCTCCAGAAGAAATAATTTGTGTGAATTAGTGGGAGAAATAGCGAGTTCATCCGATGCAGTAGTCCCGCCTTGATTCACGACGGCGCGCGTCGCCGACGCCCGATTACGAATTGGTCGGATGCTAGTTTGTTTGAAACATTGACAATTGTTTTGGAAGTTTACGCAATTAGCACGAACCGTCTGCTTTACGCTAACCGACTATCTATTTCGCGTTGTTCGAGTTTTGCTATTTGCATTATCTGGTAATTTACCAAATATAATGCACAGAGATAAACAATGCATAGGAATAAACGCTATAATAAACATGGAAAATTACGACTATCGCTAATAAAAAAAATCTAAGGCATATTTAGCTTTGAGTAGATGGCGATATGTAAAAACGTTGACGTATTCCGTTGACAGCATGGGTCATCTCTAATTTGAATAATAAATAAGTATAGGGGATTATTAGGGAAGCCAGGGATTGTCAATCTGTAGTCGAATCGGTTGATGATAACAATAATTACGCTAATCCCGATTTGATTCAGTCAATGGCTTTTGAACATAGTTGTGATGTAAACTGTGATTCTGTAGCTCAACCTTCGTCTCACCGTCCCGCATACAGACCAATTTGGAAT